GACGACAGAGGATGAGATGGTTGGATGGCATCACAGGCTCAATGGACATGGGTTTGGGTGGACTCCGGGAGTTGGTGATGGACAGGGAGGCCTGGCGTGCTGCGGTTCATTGGGTCACAAAGAGTTGGACACGACTGAGTGACTGAAATGAACTGAACTGGTAAAGGAGAAAACATTCCCCAAAAGTCAAATAATTTCTTGGCTGTTCTTCTACACACAAGAAAGAGATCTCTACCTTAGACATGGAGACGTGGATCTAGCTTCTCTTTTTTAACTATGTTCTCACAGCCTCAACAGATAACAAGACTGGAGGCTGAACACTCTGAAAAACAGGACTGAAGCACCTTACCTGAGACAATACACATATAATATCAAAGACGAAATGATGAACAGTAGGACATAAAGTAGCACCGTGAGCATCACACCAAGCATTCCGGATTGCATGGTTCTTTCAAACATCCAGTACAGTTTCGCTGCATCAGCTACCGGAGTCTCCCCACTCTGCGTGAGTCGCTGACAAAAGAGGATACAAATTAACAAAATGATAATAATAAGGAGAAAACACTGATCATCAAGTTAGATAATTTAAGTATGCAAAGACCATCTGATAGTATAATTTGTTTCTGAATTAAATGTTCAAGGTGCTCAAGCTCGTCATATCTTCAGTTGCAGGAAGGAAAAGGAAGACTGGGCTTGCATGGTTGGCTTACCAGGGTTTTCCCATTTTCTCTATAAGCGTTTAAATGAGTGCACTCTACATGCAATTCATAAAGTAAAAGCCACGTTTTATTTATGTACTATTAACTTCTGATTTAATGAGCACAAGATATGAAGAAATTAAATACCATGGTGGAAAGATTCTTTTCTTTCTGAGGCAGATTTGAAAGAAATTTAATTTGTGCTGTGTGTAAAATAGATGGCTTATTTTAAAAACTTATAAAAAAAAGTTATCAGGCTATTTAATGCAAGTTTGAAAACAAAAGTTTACATTAGGTCAATTTAATAATGTCTTTATATTAAACAAGGGAAAATATATTCTATATTGAGTTAGAAATAAATACAAGGCAAAGAGGTTTGAAACCAAATATAAAATGCTGTGTTCCTAAGATGTTTCATATGACATCTTTGACCTTTAAGTTTTACAAAACACAAATGTTCTTTAATTATGACTCTCATGATCTCAAGTGGAAGTCATATGCCATATAAATGTAAATAAGGTATTTTTTCCCCCAATGTAAGTGAGAAGGACATCTTTCTCTACTTTTTAAAAAACATTTATTAAACTGACCATTATATAAATATGAATCCTTCTGCAATGCAGAAGATGCGGATTTGGTGCCTGGGTCGGGAAGTTCCCCTGGAGGAGGGCATGGCAACCCACTCCAGTATTCTTGCCTGGGAAATCCTATGGACAGAGGAGCCTGGTGGACAGAGGACGAGATGGTTGGATGGCATCACTGACTTAATGGACATGAGTTTGAGTCCATGGGGTCACAAAAGAGTCAGACACGATCATAGTGACTAAATAGCAAACAGCACATTTAAAATGAATCCATAGTACACATGTATAGAAAAAAACAGAAGCCTGGAGAGGTTAACTTGTATTTTTTCTTACATCAAAATATCTGGTACTGATGTTCCAACTCTCAACCACTGCTTCTTCCACCACCACTCCCGAACTTATTTCTATGTGCTGCTCTGGGATTTACAGAAGTAAATGGATTTCCCTTGCAAAATGCAAGCCTGTGGCTAGGACTTTGGGCAGGAGATCTGAGAAGGCATCTCCCTTGCCTTGGCTGTTCACTAGGCTGGCTTTCCCTTATGCAGGGTTCTGGGCTGCTCACAACAAGACTAGAGTCCTTGAGGTTCCAGTCCACTAATGGCTTCTTCAGCCTTGTGTGAGAATGTGGACTTCTTATCTCTGAGAGGAAGGACCCCTGTTTACAACCTGCAGGTAAGTTGATTGGTGACTCTGCGAGATGTAAATTTAACATCATTAAACTGAACAAAAATCAGCGTGCTTTGAGCCTGCCGATGTACCTAGTGTCTCATCTCCGTGCAAAGGATTAGAGGTACAATCATGTGCCAACGAGAGTCTGTTTGTACTTGGAAGAGTTGTTTTCAGGTTCTAGTCTGTGAGCACTCTCTGAAGTCTCAGTACCACGGACCACCTTGACGACAGGTCAGAAGAGGGAGCCCGATCAGTTAGGGGGACTTCCCAGCTGGCTCAGATGGTAAAGAATCCCAGCTGTAATGCAGGAGACCTGCGTTCAATCCTTGGGTTGGGAAGCCCTGGGGAAGGGAATGGCAACCCACTCCAGTATTCTTGCCTGAAGAATTCCATGGACAGAGGAGCCTGGCGGGCTACAGTTGGAAGTGGTTGTGTTTTCCATCCATCCTCGGTTCTTTCACCCCTTTGATTAGCCTCATTCTCATTCTGAGTGGATTGGCTGGGGTCAACTGGATTTTCTCTACATTCCTATTTCCTGTGGACTCCAGGTTAGCAAGGAGGACTGCCACCAAGGATTATTGAGCAGGAGGGGTGGAGAAGGATACTGTCTGCACTCCAATAGGACCATGGCCCTGGTATCTCCCGGCTGCCCCGGGGCCTTGTGGGTCTACTGAGGAGGTGAGGAGCCAGCCTGGTCCTACTGCCGCACCACGTGGGAACCCACCTGGGAGGATGGGCAGCTGCCCTTTATGACCTTCTGAGATATCCTCACACGGAGAGTCCACAGCCCTCCTGGAACGGCTTTCCTGTTCCAATCAGATCCCCTAGAGAGATCACCAGATGAACAGTCCACTGTATCAAAGGCAGCTGACAAAACACGCTCTGTTAATTTACCCTGGGGCCTCTGATGTCACCTACAGGAGAGTAGCCTCCAGCAGGGCCATCTCAGAACCAGCACAGAGGTCTATGTACAGACCTGCTGGAAGCTGATTTGGACGCTAGCAGATGAATGTAACACTCTTGTGTGTGTGTGTGTGTGTGTGTGTGTGTGTGTGGTTCAGTTACTGAGTCACATCCAACTCTTCTGCAACCCCATAGACTGTAGTCTGGCAGGCTCCTCTGTCCATGGGATTTCCCAGGCAAGAATACAGGAGTGGGTAGCCATTTACTACTCCAGGGGATTTTCCCGACCCAGGGATCAAACCCATGTCTCCTGCACTGTCAGATGGATTTGTTATCACTGAGCCACCAGGGAAGCCATTATTGGCAGTTCAGTGCAGTCACTCAGTTGTGTCTGACTCTTTTCAACTCCATGGACTGCAGCGTGCCAGGCTTCCCTGTCCATCACCAACTCCTGGAGCTTGCTCAAACTCATGTCCATTAAGTCAGTGATGCCATCCAACCATCTCATCCTCTGTCGTCCCTTTCTCCTCCTGCCTGCAATCTTTCCCAGCATCAGGGTCTTAACCAATGAGTCAGTTCTTCCCATCAGGTGGCCAAAGTATTGGAGTTTCATCTTCAGCATCAGTCCTTCCAAGGAATATTCAGGACTGCTTTCCTTCAGGATTGACTGGTTTGACTATTGGCAGAATCTATTTCAAATACAGTTAACAAGCAGGGTGCATAAAAAATCCCCTTGCTATGAACTGGTGGTGGTGGTGGTTTGGTTGCTAAGTCGTGTCCGACTCTTGCAAGGCCATAAACTGTAGCCTGCCAGGCTCCTCTGACCATGGAATCCTCCAGGCAAGAATACTGGAGTGGGTTGCCATTTCCTTCTTCAAGCTATGATCTGCTCGACACAATGAATAGAGTTGAAACACATATACACCAGGTGAAAAATCATCTTCTTAAAAGGAGAAATAGAGTAGTTAAGGAATATTATTACATGAATTAAGAGAATTTTATGAATAAATATTTGATTTAGAATCATTATTAGCATGTTTTATACATATTCATATTGTAGTATATCATTGTTAATTATGAAGTTTTAAACTATATATTTAAGAGTGAAAATGCACTGGTTTGTCATTTCATAAACACCACAAATGTCAAATGCCTGTGGAGAAATTTTTTAATTATTTATTATTTAGAAATCTTTAAAAAGCTCTTCTTCATCTTCTTGAGTATATCTATTATGATAGAGTATTAAATCAAAAGGAAATAAATCACCTAGCTGAGTAAAGGAACTATTGTACAATTACTTTTTACAAAGTTTGGCTGTGGAAATCCTTAGTATAAAAAAAAATTACCAAAAATGTTACAAAAGAAACCTTCTTTGTAGAAATTTTGGAAATGTACCAATTAGTTTGGATTTGATCTCCACTCTTTTCTGTATTTTGCAAGAGTTTAACATAGCTAAAATTACATTTAAAATGATTGCATTAGACATCCACAAATTTTTGTTATGAGAAAAAAATGAATAACTTCGATTTAAGGTGCATGTTGAATTGGGCACGATTATCAAAACTTCCCGTGTCAACTGACTTGTGCACTAACATTACATTCTATGTCAAGGACTCATATCCCGATTATTTTACTTGACTTACCCCCAGGACAGTATCCACAATAAATACTGCCAGTGGGTCCAGAACTGCCCATAGTGCCATGGTGATGATTAACTTTGACAGGACGTCAGGGCAGAAGGCAAACAGTAGCTGACAGCCCCATCTGACCAGGACCAAGGAAAGCACCACTGCGTTCAGCATGAAAGGCCCCACCACAACCACAAGCATCTCTTCTGCGATGTGAAGGGATGAGGTTGGGTAGCAGAGCTCCACTGTGAGGGGGGAGAAATGGAATCTGCGGGAAAACAAAGCAACGACACGTGTGCAAAGGAGAAGAATTCTATAAAATGCTAAGTAAACAAAACACTTTACAGAACAATGTGCTTTTTTTTTTAATACAGAAAATGTGACACTTAATAGCATCTCAAAATTAAGTGTTAGAAGTCTTCATCTTTTCCTTAGACTCTCAACAGCTCACTTTCAAGGAAACGGCAAATTCTACCTTGTTCATTGTTCTTGTAAATTTCATATGCAGTCGTAGAAAGGATACCATTTTAATCCACTGAACAGAGCATTCTTTAGACTAAAAACTACCCAGCAGGCCAATATACTCACTAGAAGGCTATCTGAAATCAAACTATATCAGTGGACTTAGTAACGACTCAGTCTCTAACAGAAATCAGAAATACAAATAAATCTCATAATTCTCTGGAAGTTTCATGTAGCTGAATGATTTTGCTTATGATTCTCTAGCTAGAGGCCCTACATACAACAACGACGATACTGCTGACCACAGAAACATCTAAAGGGACAACTTCACACAACCTAGGATCTAAAGCTTGAATCCAAGGTGAGCCCAGTAACTCAAGAAGCCTTCATCCAGACTTTGGCACCCTCTTTCCAAGCAAAGTGAGCCATCCTTGACTCTCATTTTTTCCTTCCCTGTGTTTCAGCCTCATAGAGCTATTCTGTAGTTAATCCTGTTTGTGTAACCTGCTTATCAGCTCTCTACCAAAAATAGTTCTTCATTTTATCCCTTCCTTGACCTTTGCTTTGAAGGAAACTTTTCTGCTTTGTTCTTAGGCCACTGTGAGTATCAAATAAAATAAGGTGTATACATTTCTTTTTCAGAGGACCTAACATAGAGTAAAAACAGAAAAATTCTCACTGTTGCTGTAGCTATTGTCGTGTTCCATAACTACATTATGACCTGGAGCTAATGTATGATTCAATACACAATACTCAACAATAATCAACAAAATATCCATTGTTTAGGTCCTTTGATTCTTTCTCCTTTTCTTTTATTTTTTTATTGGAGTATAATTACTTTACAATGTTGTGTCTGCTCTATGACAGTGTGAATCAGTTGTATGTATACATATACCCCTTCTCTCTTGATCCTAGATCCTCTGTTACTTAAGAAATTAGATAAACTGAACTACCAAGATATTTGTGCAGTCTCATTTCATTAACAACCAATAAAGACAGAGCTGCCTTTCCTATTGAAAAAGTAACAGAGCAAATAGTATAAAGCAAATATCCGAAGCACATAGTATTTATTTTTTCTCCTTTAGAAACTCTCACACACACAAAAAAAGGCGGGGTGGGGGGAGAAAGAAGAAGGGAAGAAAGGAATATAAGACCTATTTCATTCTCCCGTGAAGATAGTTATTCACTATATTTAAATTTTCACATGCTATAATATATATAGAAGTTTGTGATTTAATTCCAAAAGATGACCAATAATTGTGTATGTATACATATAACATGCATATTATTTTTCAAAGTGTCTTAAATAGTTTGCAATCTTCTTAATTGAAAATATACACACATCTTTGTTTTATCTGTACCATCTACATTCGAGAAAATGAATTTTACTTGTACTGACATCTATCTGTCTATCTACAGTGTCTCTGAAATCATGTTTATGGAGAGATAACCTTTACAGTATCATCTTTTTCCAGAGGATAATGGCCCAGAAAGCTGCCTGGGCCTGAGTTTGGCAATTGTTTAGATTCAATCTTTTTGCAGAAGAAGCAATCTTTGCTTCTCTGAGGATAGATGATAAATCATACTTACAGTACTTCTAATATACCCTTAGACTAAATCTCACTCTGATAAAATCAAAGTAGGATAAAATATTGCTGCTAAATTCTCTTTTGGGTTCTACTCAGATATTAGAACATATTTGAATCAGCTAAATTTTAAATAAATATTGATGCACCAGTTAAATATTTGTATACACAGGCCCAAAATGAGAATCTAACTGTAAATAGACATTCCTGCTCTTAAAGACATTTTTGTCTTTTCAACTCATACCTGCATTTTAGGTCTTACGGTAAGTGGGTGAGAGAGGAGTTTTGTACTCTCATTGGCCTCTCAAGATGAAAATGCATGCCTTTGACTTTCGGGGGAAGCACTCACTTTGTAACAGGAGTTGAAATGGCCTGGAGGAAAAACCACTGGCTGAGATAATGCAGGTAAAGCCTCAGGAACCAGAGAGAAGCCATCAGCAGGATGATGTACCAGAAGCCCTGGCTTCGCCATTGAGCGAACTCAAGTTCGGAAAACACTGACAGCAGCAGAAAACAGAGATGCTTGAAGAATTCTCCAGATGCAGCGTCAGCAGCTGAGGAACGGCTGCAAACGAAGAAGCAGTCAATGAGTCCCAGGCTTAACTAAATCCCCAAATAAGATACTTTGAGAATGATAAGGAAGACACAGTGAAAGTCAGTTTGAATGAAAGTATTTCTTAGCCACCTGGGATTCAAACTAGTTACGGTCCTTTCCACTACAATGGATCACTAAAGGGGAACATACAGGCACATGGATATCAGGAATTCCCTGGTGTTCCCGTGGTTAGGAATCTGAGCTGTCACTGTCAAAGACCCAGGTTCAAACCCTGCTTGGGGAACTAAGATCCCACAAAACACAGAAGTGTGGATGTGGAAATGCCAGTCAAAACCACAAGGAGATATCTCCTCACACCTATTGTTAACACAATGGCTAGTATCAGAAAAAAAAAAGATAAAATAATATGTTGATGAAAATTTGAAAGAAATGGAACTCTTAAACACTGTTGGTGGGAATATAAAACCATATAATCAGTATGAAAAACAGTACAACAGATCCTCAAAAAATTTAAAAAGCACAAGTACCATATATGATCCAGCAATACTCCTTCTGGGTGTTCATCCAAAAAAATTCAAAGCAAGATCCCAAAAAATGTTTGCACACCTATGTTCATAGCAGCATTACTCACAATAGCCAAAAAGTGGGAAAAGCCTAGCTGTCAATCAAATAGAATAATTATTAGCCTTAAAAAGGAAGGAAATTCTGCCACATGCTACAACATGGATGAACCTTGAACGTATTATGCTAAGTGAAATAAGCCCGTTAACGAAAGAAAAGTACTGTATGACTCTACCTATGTGAGATGCCTGCTGCTGCTGAGTCGCTTCAGTCGAGTCCGACTCTGTGCGACCCCATAGACGGCAGCCCACCAGGCGCCCCCATCCCTGGGATTCTCCAGGCAGGAACACTGGAGTGGGTTGCCATTTCCTTCTCCAATGCATGAAAGTGAAAAGTGAAACGGAAGTCGCTCAGTCGTGTCTGAATCTTCGCGATCGCGTGGACCGCAGCCCAGCAGGCTCCTCCGTCCATGGGATTTTCCAGGAAAGAGGACTGGGGTGGGGTGCCAGTGCCTTCTCCGACGTGAGGTGCCTAGAGTACTCAAATTCATAGACAGATTCTGGTCCGGGGAGAGACAGTGGGAAGTCCTTTAATGGCACGTAGTTTCAGTTTTGCAAGATGAGAAAGCAGTAGAGACGGGTTACCCAACCACGTGAATACACTTACAAGTGAACTGCACGCTTAAAATGGCTCAGATGATGCATTATAGGTTATGTGTGTGTTGCAATTAAATTATTTAAAGAAATATGAAAATATATTACTGTAAACAACAAACTAATTTTGTTTTAAAAAAAAATCTTTAAAATTTATACCATAGTCTTGCTTACCTCACCTACTCACAATGATCCCTCTCTATTAAGATTAGATTTAATTATTGGCATATAACTGGTTCAAAGTTAGCTATTTCATTTTGAAAATTGAAGTTAATGACTAACATACCACTAAAAACACATGCAGGAGAATTTGAAACTTAAGAACTCTTGTATTCTTTAATACAATACTGACATTTTCTGTTGAAACTAAACATGAAAGAGTTAGATACAATGATTCTGATTAAGCTCTAGTTTCCTCTCTCTGTGTGGTGTTGACAGCAGGAGATGTTTTCCAATTTTTTTAAAAATATCCTCGGCGGGGAAAAAAAAAAAAAAAACAAGGAAGGGTTGGGAGTTGGAAAAGAGTCCACATATGTATGGGTACTGTGTTTCTTTTGGGGCGATGTTCTAAAGTGAACTGGAATGATGGCTGCAGTAGTGTGAATATCCTAAAAACTTTAAATTGTACGCTTTAAATAGGTGGATGGTGTGGAATATGAATTGGGCTTCCCAGGTGGCTTGGTGGCAAAGAATCTACCTGGCAATGCACGAGACATAAGAGATCTCCTAGAATTATTCTGAATATAATTCAGCAAATTCCTAAACCAAAATTAGTCCTGATTATAAACACATTACCAAAGGAGAAGCTGGTTCCATGGTACGTAGTCCAAGGGCTTAGCGACTAACTAACCATAGCAGTTTGAGGCATTGTGGGAACATTAACAGAAATGGAATTCATAGACAGATTCCAAAGATTTTTTACACAAAGCTCATCTCCCTCTGAAGACTATTAAATAAATGGCAATTGTACCACCAAAAGAAGATAAGTCATAGAAGTTGTCTTTGGGAGGTAAAAAGAAGAAAAACTAGAAACAGTCACTGAAAGAAAATCCATTATTCCCTTTAAAATCCCAATCCATGACTCTAGCCTTTTGGTCTGTACAGAACTAATAAGGTGCTGAACTTGACATTGACAGCTTATTTTTGTTGTTCTTGGGTGTCTTTTTCCAAGAAGATGGAGAGGATCATCTCACTGAAAACCATGTGCCATCTTGTACTAAGCATGCTTTTCAGTTACTCAAATGAGGAACAGTCAAACAGGAAACAGGCCCCCCAGAGGCTCTGGTTTACCAACGGTAAAATTGTCAGGAAAGTGACTCTCTTATAGAAGGATTCCAGAATACATTTACCATCATGTGAAATGAGACCCAGGACTGGCTACTCTGCTGAAGGAAAATATTCTGTGCATGATCTCCTCTTCAGTTAATTATTCTGTCACTGTTTTGCCTCTTCAAAGAGAAGAGAAAATCAAACACAGATTTGACATTGTGTTGTTTGCAAAAAACTGGAAAATCTCAAATGATGCAAAACAGAAAAGACAGTAGCTTCTTTGACCTTTGGAAATTTCCACTTTTTTTTTTTCATTTATTGACATGAAATGACTAAGTAGTTTAAATATTTATGCCCAGAACTCACTATCAAGTCATACTTTTACCATTAGTTTCACCAATAAAAGGTTTCCCAGTCACATTCTGATATACATATTCATTTATAGGATGTTTGATTTAGGATAAATAACACCAAAATTTCATTGTATATTATCTACATCTAATTCGTAATATTCAATTTTATTGTACATAGTCAACACAACTAAGTATTTGTTTCTATTTGTTTGCTTAACAATAGTAACTATACCATCTGGATTTAAAGGATTGGGAAAACCTTGGCATCAATCAGAGTTTAAAAAATTGGACACTGCAAAGATAGAACTTAATAAAAGAATCAGTTGATGTTAAATGATGCCAAATTAAAGGATGCATCCAAAAGCTCATTAACAGAAAAAAACTAGTCAAGTATATCCTCATAAACAATTCCTGAACAACAAGAAAGTCTACGTGAGTGCTTAATGGTTTTGAACTTACACCGGAAATACAAGCATGCACTAATATAGAATTTAATCCACAATGCTCCCTGCATATATTGTTCTTAAAGCAGATTTCATTCAAAAGACAACTGTGCATCCGTGTTTCCAGATTGCCTTGAAAGAAGGTACCTTTTTCGTTCTTGTGTGCATGCTAGGCACGCTGCGACTCACGGTGTCACAGCCTAACATCTCCATCCACATTTCAACCCTCCTCTCCTTCCCCTGTAATCTTTCTTGGTTATGGACAAAGAGTGTGACCATCAAAAGGATAATAAATGGCCTCTGCCACTGGGGTGTGTAATACCAACAGTGGGAATTGATTTGCTGGTTATGAAGGCAGCCCACAGAGCACAGATCATTGCAAAATCACATTGAGGCCGGCAGCCACGCCTCGGCTCATGCAGGCGGCCGGTCTACTGCTCACGGGGTGAGCTGCCAGGGGGCGTGAGGAATCGGGAGGTCATCCAGTATTCGGCTATTAAATGAAACCTATTTCTCTGGACTTCAGCCACATTTCATATGACATACATATATCCCCCTTCCATGTTCAGTCCTTATAGGGAGCTGAACTCAAACAAGATTTCTGTGATCCATCAGTGCAATAATACTAAAAATAATAATAATAATAATGCCAAATTTGCTTTGAAAGAAAGAAAGAAAAAAAAAAAAAGCATGGAATGCTTTCCTCGACTGTCTCCTACAGTGAACAGGAGTCCTTAGGTCTGGGAAGGACCAAATCCTGAGATCTGTGAAGCGAAGAGGAATGAAACAAACGGGGGTGAGGGGGTAGGCAAGAAACCCGGGAGTGCATTCCATCACACAGGCCGTTCTCAGAGGAGTAAAGTCCTCTTTCTAAACCAGGAAGTACGTTGAATTGGTTGGAGAAGGTCTTTGTATCACTAAGTAGTGTTGATAGAGGCCAAAGCTGCAGAAGTAAAAGAAGCCTGGCCCACCTGTGTAGGAGTGCAGACTCTTCTCCGGCACCATAGATAGCCCACAAAGTATTTTTTAAGGTGAGGGTGATGAGGAGGGGTGACCAAGAATGAGAAAACCGCCATCAGGATTTTCTAAATGGCAGCTGAGAAAAGTCTCATAAGTGTGCAGCAGTGAATCATTCAGTGGTTTGACTGGTAGGGGCTCTTTGGGCAAGTTCACTGTGACATCATGTTTAAAAGAAAATGAGGGTAAAAATATATATATGTATGTCAAGATGAAGAAACACTTATTTGGAAAGAAATAACATTAGTAAAAAATGAGTTACTATATTACTATAATCATGTGCTGGTTATTGGATTAATCTATGTAAATTATAAATGGCATCAGCTTTCTTTTTTTAACCAAAGTTGTTAAAATGTCCAAATCTGCTGTTGTTTTGTCATGGTTTCAAGTATTGGGGGAAATACTTTCACAAAAGTGTACATTCACATTTAACAAAATGCTTTGGACAAAACTGTTATCCGTTCTTCCAACACTTAGAAATCTTTCTCTAAAAAGAAAAGTTCACAAGCTTATCTGGATGTTAGCATTTTTCAACTAGATTTTTCTCCCTAAAATTCTGTCTCCTTGGCCAATTGGGGTAGTATACTTTTAACATAACACATTGTACTTTGAACAGGTTTAATTCAATTTACAAAAAATGCTTCTAATTAAGTTAAAAGATCTTTGAAAATTGCTAAATCTTAGGGGTAATAGTATCACTACTGACATTGAAA